ACTAATCCAGCAACTGGTTTTGAAGCTTTCTATGCCCCAGTCTGGTTCGATGCATAAATTTATTCGGCGAAAAAAAGAAAAAATTTTTCGCAGTAAATGCCCTTACAAAGTCAAAAAATGAAAATTTTCCAGTTTAAAGAATTTTTCCAAAATTTTAGGGAAAATGAAATTAATGAATTTTTTTTTGTTTTTATTATTTATTAGCCAGCCAAAATCGTGATGCTGATTTTTGAAGTCGATGAACGTTCTCTTCATCAACTTTGGTCACTTTGCTGACAACCCGAGGACGTCGTGTATTAGTAAGCGGTACTCGCGAGACTGGTTCCCGGAAAAGATAGTGCATGATAGGAAGTACTAGCTGGCAGCATGCAAATTGGTTTCATAAACACGCAGAAACGCATAGAAATTACGGTGCTCGGCAGGCCTTGTATTTTTGCACGATTTCGCGCTGTAGTACGATCACTTGCACTTGCACATATCATCATATTCTCCGAAAATTTCAACTTCCTAGCTAAACTGGCTCTCAAAATAGCATTTTTGCCAAAAATACTTTGTCATGTTCCAAGGCCTGCACGGATGCTCACTTAGCGTATCCGGATTTATTCAGAGACGAAATATTCTCCTAAGATTAGAGAAGCCTACTCAGCCGAGTTGGCGCTTGCCATCTATTGTGAAATTGCCAATTTGATGTGTCTGCATGTACGATTTATGCATGCATGCGAGCTGAATTTAGAATGTTTAGCTCACACAAGAGCACAAAATTCCTCCGTGAAGTTATAGCTTTCTAACTGGTCTGATCCCCCAAATCCTCCCAAAAAATTTGTATAAATTTTTTTAGGCATTTGTACACGCAACCCAGGCATAAGTGAACAATGATTTTAATAAAATAGCATAAGAACATGCTTCAGAAATTGCAGCTTCCTAGTTTCGCCGGTTCTTGAGTTAAAAGTGGATGACTAAAGTGCGAGCATACGCACGCTCTGGTTAATATGCGCTTTTGTACTTGTACGAACGCGGAAAAAAGCATAATGAAACGAACGATT